CGAGTCTATAACAGTCATATACACTACGTACGCTTTATACACTCCATCAGTGGTTCTCCAACTTTTTTGTTCGCGGAGCCCTTATATTTCTAAAAATATTCTCGGAGACCCAAAAATCAGGTATTTCTATTTGAAACAACAATTAAAATTACACAACAAATCATGCAATAATATTTCATCAAATTCATTAATAATTAATCGATTCTATATATTCCTTTAACAGGGCGAAACAATACATTTTATATCGAGAGAAACACACAGCCCAAAATTTAATTATTTTTTTTAAAAAGCTCGGATTTTGTAATTTTCAATGAAAACTGTGGTAATTTCACCTTGTATTAATAATTGTATTTTATTTAATTCTGTCAAAATATCAACCGATTTATGAAGTCGAAATAACCAAATTGTATCGATAAATCTGATTATTTAAATTAAATGAGTGTTCGGTAAACAGAACGTAAAATTCATTGTGCAATTCAAGTAATCGTTCCAGTGTTTTTCCTTGATAACTTATGAATATATATTCATATTTGAATTTAATTAATTCAGATGTGCCCAAGAAGCCACGAATCCCCTAGACTTTTCACGTGGAGCACAGTTTGAGAACCGCTGCACTGAACGGAATACAAGCTATACACACGAGCGCACGTACAGTAAATTAAATCCCGAACGACTAGAACTACACGCACAGTGCCGTAAATAATAATAATAATAATAAAAATAATGGCAAGGAGAAAACCTGTTGAATACTGCGGACCGTCGCCATCGGGTGGCAGAGACATTGGCAACACGGGAAGTTCCATCAGCCCTAAAGGGTCGTATACGTCCACGCACGATTCTACCTGACGTCGGGTGTAATGTCTAACAATCGGATGGTCAGAAGGGGACCGTATACAGGCGACACTGAAAAGAGGTATGTAAACGGTTCAACCGAAATTTATTGCCACGAGGGGTTGTTGCAGCTGCAGTCTGTTTAATAATAATCGTGATTTTGTGACAGTCCCTTTGTGCAACGTGGAACCCATCACCGACCGGTGGCGCGCACATTCCCAGTCGGGGTTGAGACATTACAATTCGACGCTGGAAAATGGTGCACACACGCCGGACTATCGAAACGGCAGGACGAAAAAAATCGTACGTGACCTAAAGACTTTTCGAACGGATGAGAAAAAAGGAAAAACATATGAAAATCACTGTGGTTAGCATTAATACGCTAGTGTTCTGCGCTCCGTGTACTTTGCATAATAATAATATCGTTGTTTATACAGATACCCAGTACTAAAACAGTTTTATTCGTTTTTTATTTGTTTTTTTTTTACGTTTTTCGTTACAATGGGTTTTTAACAAAAAAAAAAAAAAAAAAACCAAGTAATTTACCGCACTAAAAATTATTATTAATACTGTCATGTCTTTATTCAATATAGTCCCACCATTACCTCCTGACTGGCGGCCGCTTCTAATGGTATTTGTAAAAAATAAATAAATTACCAAACTAACTACTCATGTGACAAAAAAATTAAACCTGTATAAACATTGAGAACACTAACTCAACTATCTTATTATCCGTTTAAAGTATAAGAATGTCGTAAAACTCGCTATATATTTACGCAGCACACCTATGTAAATATATGCCTATCGAACAATCAGTTATACCGAAACTCGATTATATACATATATGATACCGTCGTGAAGTATTCGAGTGTATAAAATGTCTAGACTGTAAAGTGTACTTCAAGTGAATGTGTTTCTAATTGATTTTCTGAGTTCCCATTATATCGCCTAAGTGGAATCGATTGATATAATATATTTAATGTACGATCGAAAGTCTAAGTTAACAAATTTTTCTAATAAAATAATAAAAAATTAAATAAAAATTAAATAAAAATTAAAAATTAATAAATGATTATCACTCGTAAGTTAATACATAAATAAATAAAAACAATTACATTTTATTTTTTTCATATTCAGTCGCAATTTTATAAACTTGGTTTATACTTAATGATGAATTTTTAATTTGAAATCGGTTGTACTTTACATATATAATAATAATAATAATAATACTCTAATCTAAGCTTTTATTTATTAATTTTTGTTTTCTATCTATACACTATATGTCTGTTTATTTATATATTAAATTCTTCTAACCAGAAAGTGTTCATACGTCTGTATCATATTACAACTACAAGTTATTTTAAGATCTACTAAAGCTCTTTTGTTTTACAGCAGAGAGTTGTTTATTTAAAACAATATAATAATTAATATAGAAAAAAAAATTGATTATAGACATGAATACATGAAAAGGATAATCAATTATAATTTAACTCCACAAAAAAGAACAATATTAAAAAGATTTTTACGTTAGCATTATTATCAAACTTTAACTTCCACCTAACTTCTAACTTTTGTTCATCGATCTTCTTGTGATATATCTATATCTATATACATATATGTATCCGTAGAGAGTCATGGTAATGAATGACGTACTACGTGTAGTGGCCTGCAGCCGTATTATTATATTAATATGCATGTTCCGAATAATGCAGTGCTCTTCACCCCTTGACCCTATTAATAGTGAATAATATATATTTATGCCTACACTAGTTATTATTTAAAATTGAATACTGAATAAAATACTAATGTTTACTATAGATCTGTACTTTGCACGTATATCATTATGACGTGAATAACTTCTGAGAACTAAATGTTTTGGGATTACTATACATCCTACTACTGTCAATAGTGTTTATTATCATTTTAAAATATGTTTGCTTTTCTAAAAAGCTATTATTGTAAACCCTGTGTTCAATACTACGAAAACAGACTACCCCTCTCCGGTCCACAGATAACAACGAAAAATAAATCTAACGATGGCATTTTTTAGATTAGATCTTCTAAAGTGTATACCTGAGCGTGGCTACGTTGGAAACCCGGTCCCCTCTTTTCAAATCCAAACAACGACCTGTTTATTAATTTTTGTTATGAGATGCGCATGAGAAAGTAACGTTCCTATTATATATAGTTATAACAGCCATTACCTATCACAATGTCACTTTTTAAATGTTAATCTTTATATTTGGTTTTTACATCCGGCCATTTTGTGAGAAAATAACGGAAAAAACCGGTTATTTATTTGTTCGATTTAATATTAATTATATTCTCTAGATTTACGTTGTAATTGTTTCGTTCGTTAGTTGTTTAGTGATATTAAAACATTTTTTTGTAATTTAACCTTTTAATACTTCAATGTCAAATACAAACTAAAACACAATAAACAATTAATGATTTAAAATTATTAAATATAATATAAACTTCTCGAATCTAAACATTCTTTCTCTAATCTTTAGGCAGTAAAAGATGCGTGCAACATCACCGAAAATTTAAAATATACTTCCTTAAGCCAAAGATAAACTGAGTAGAATTTCATTGAGCAATAAATATCCCTTCTCGTATTTATTCCGATTTAATAGTTTTGTTTTAAGACATAGAGAGTTCGATTTGAATCACTTCCACCGCGTTTTAATTGTATATCTACAGGTGTATCTTGAAATTCTGCGTTAATACATTGTTGTTGATCGTAAAAAAAACGCATGCCCGTAGAATTTTTTTACTGAAAACAATAAAATAGAAATAAACAGTGTATCACAAGTAAAACGGTTTGAGACTTTTTTTTTTTTTGGGGGGGGGGGGTATTTTAAATCCAAATTTGAATGTATTTGTGGTACGAATAACACGCATGTAATCACTTTTAATAGCAAAAACGTATTCGTTCACCATTTGAGGTGCGACCATTGTTCGAAAACGTACCGTCCACGAGCTGGTTCTCGATCATCTGTCTACTAACCTGGCGCACACGTGGCACCCTATCTCAAGAGGATTCAGGCGGTAAACAACAAACACTGTGCCGTGTCTCAAAAACGGTTTTCGACCTGGGATGTTTGTACATACCTGTACATTCCGGATTATACTTCAGACCGCGGGTAGTAATGCCACTATTCCGTGAAAACGTTTTGGCCGCGGTGTGCCCGTGTGCCGTAATAAATACTCTGCACACGTCGGCGTACAAATACAACTGTGTATAAATATTATTTTGTATACGTCTGGAACAAGATAGGCCGATAAAACTGTCATCGCGACTATTCCTACATCCCGTGATTTACCTTCACCGTGCACTCGACGTAAAACTAAAAATCGTTTTCCTCGATAACGACGACGATGGTACGAGTTGCCGCTAGACAACACAATAAATACCGATCGTAACACTCGTTAACATTTAATAAATGTTTGAAAAAAAATTATAATATTTTATAAACGTTCAACATCCGTTAGTTTTATACGTCTTCAAACATATAATTAAGTACCTATTTTATATTTATGCAATTTTAAAAGTTCGTACATTTTCAAATGTTTGTTTTCGAATGTTAATAAATTTTTGTTACAGGTTTATATATATACATTGTATTGTTTTAAGATGTGACGCAAACTGCGTGTGTGTGTGTGTGTCGTTTTCTTTAAAACGAGATTCCTTAAAATTATATTTATAACTGCGATTTACACGGTCTAAGCTCCACCCATTACAATACCGGAATGGCGTTCGTCATAAAAATCGCACCCTAATAGAATCTGCATTCGAATTAGAATGCAGTCGGTGCTCGCTCGCAACACAGTACCTACTACGGCTAGTACCGTTCCGATTCCCCTGCGCTCCGTTCATCTAACAGTCTTTTTACAGTTGTTCTTGGTCACGTGCGCAGCGTTACTATCACCGCATTTAATGCCGCCGTGTTACAACGTGCAGTTCACTTCTGTTATCACATGCGACGACTACTAAGCTGAACACGTTCGCTCCGGCTACACGCGCATTGATTCCATTCGGTTAATTAACTTAGTACATCGTATTGATATTACTTATTTTATTTATCAAACGGTTTTTTTGTTTTTATTTATTTTTTTATTTTTTTGTTGGTTTTTTAATTCGTTCACGCGTCTTACACCAATTTGGTTTCTGGACACATGTTAATTGAAGCGGAAGTTCTACTTAAGTTTATAAACGACATGGTATGTTAACGATTTTTCTTCTTTTTTAGTATTAAGTTTATTTAGTTTTTTTCCCCCTTTGAATTTAATCCATGACAATCAGATGATTTCAATTCTGAAATCATATTGTTATTAAATTTATTACCACAATAACTATCTATGTTTTAAATTCAACTTCTGAATTTCCATGTTCACTAATAATGCTTTATTAAAACGTGTTAACTATAAATATTTAATAAGTGTTTTATAATAAATAAAAAGATTAAAGTGTCCTGATGTCTGTTTGTTTTTTTGTGCCAAATCTTCAAAACAAGATTTTCACAGGCAAGGTTTTTGCGAAAAGTAATCTAATTTACTTTTTTTCAACACATTATATTTTGCTGCACAAAAATCGTAAAAAGGTTAAAATTAAAGAAGAAACGACGTGGGCTGTAATTGACATGAAAGACTTGATCATGAATTAACATAATAATTGTGATTGTAATCGATTTTTAAGTTTCCATGGTTATGTGCAGAGGTGGACTGGGTTAATATTTCAGGCCGGAAATTTTTTTTGCCTAGCCAAAAATTAACAGGGTACCAACGATTTGGTCATAAGTATGCAAAAAAAATAATAATAATAAAAAACCTTTATTATTTAAAAAAATATTTTTAACATTTTATATATATATATAAAATACACATAATATATAAAATATTTTTTTTATAGATACACAGTGTACACATTTTAATATAATACCTATATATTAAAATGAACTCTAAAAGTAATTCCTTTTTTACATAATTTGGTTTTTTTTCATAACCTCACTAGTTCCTCCAATTCTGCCGATTAAAATATCGTCATACTATATTTTTAATTTCTAAAATATTATCAGGCCATTTAAAGTATTATTGTAACAGGCCACCGGGATTTGGCCAGTTTGCCCCTTGTTGTGTGTAGTATCAAGTGTTTTGTATTAAAAATTCACGGATAGTTTTTCAACAAAAAACATCGACATGGTCAATTATAATAAAAAGCACACTATGTATTTGAATGTTCCACTTTATATTTAAATGTAGCACTTAATTAACGACAGCACCATAGATCATTTTTCCGAATTTCCTTCCGTATAATCATTCCCCATCCACACACAAACAAAAGCGCACAAATTTACATAAAAATCATCGAGTTGGCCACTTTTGTCTTTTTTTCTTCTTTGAAAACATGGAAGAGGAAATGCGAAATATGTATTTTTTAAGGTTCACTTTTCATGTCTACAATGGTTTTCCTTAAGAATTAAAATTAACGATTTGATTTTTGCTCCGAGAGTTACTACCACTAAGTTTCATTCAACTGGGTTGTACGCGATTAAATTGCATCACTTAACATTTATATTGTTAATCTTATACGTTAACTCTACTTTCTTGTCTTTCGAATATCTGCCGAATTCCGTGTCACGATTTCATATCAGCAACAAACGTGTGAAAATGTCAAATAAACAAATGTTCGACTCTCGGGTGAAACGGGGTAGTATAATAGGCGTGCAAATGAAAGGTACCTAGTGTACCTGAGCACCCCTTCCCCCCCTCGAAATATTATAAATAATGCCCTACAATTGAAGTTTAAGAGTAAGAGGCCCGTATTTTAATTTATATTGTTCAAATTAAATTAAATTTATTTTAAAATATTTGATAAAAAAAAAAAAAAATTTATCTAAATATTCATACAAAACTTATTCTTCTTCTTCTTCTTCTTCTGGCTTTTATAACTCTCCAAGAGTTTCCGCCGCCATCACCAAATCACTCCACTTATCACGATCTTGCACAATCTCCCTCCAATCCTGCACTCCAAGATCTTCCAAATCCTTTTCTACAACATCCAACCATCTCTTCCGAGGACGACCCCGTGGCCTTTTTCCTTCTGGTTTCCAATTCAGTATCATTTTGGTTACTGCATCAGAATTCCGCCTCATGACATGTCCTAGCCATTGTATCCTTTGTCTCTTTATGAAACCATTTATTGATACTATTTTTAATTCCTCCTTCAATTCTTAGTTGAATTTCCTACGCCACTGACCTGTCCTTGGGTCTTTAATACAAAACTTATTATGATCATATAATAGCTACAATTAACTACAAAGGTACATTTCATAAATAATAGATGCAATCTGAGAAAAATATACGAGAAAAATACATTTATTGATATAGAAATTAAATAAATTAAATAAAATAATATAATAATTAAATAAAAAATTAAAGTTATGATTATTTAATAGTTTATATATTTTAATTAATGAAATATTCCTACATGTTTTGTTAAGATAGGGCCCGAATGTATTGTAGACATCCCCTGAAATACAAGGTCTGTGTCTAACCTATGGGTAGTATTCAATTAAGTGGTATTTCTAATCAAATGTAATGTTTACAACCAAACATGTCTGGTATGTGATATTTCGTCATTAGAACGAAAACAATGTAAAATGACATGCGATTAAATAGTGTTTAACGTCCGTTCGATTGACCATCGGAAACATCGTCGCCCAACTGCTAAAATATTTGTCTTGGGCGGTCGAACTACCCAATCGAGTGTGTAACGCAACGGATACAATACAAAGTATTTCAGTGAGACATATACCCAGTGTGCAAAATAATGTTACAGTCATGTAAAAATAACGCTCTAAGGAAACTTTAACGTTTTAAGTAACTTCCATTGGAGGTCTGAAACCATTCCTTAAACGCAATTTACCATGTTATTTGTAACAATGCATAAACCAACATAGAACTATAAAACCAGTTATATTACTTAAATAATTTTTCGAAGACATGACTGTAACGTGCTTCAAAAACTATTCCTAGAATGTTTATTCGGATTTCAAATTAGTAGTTTTAAATTTTATGTTCCGGTTATATATTTTCAAAGGTTTTTAGGAACATCCCCTTCAAATTAATTATTTATATATTATGCAGCACCCCATTTTACATGCTTTTTAATAATTGTATTTAAGTTTACACACATTTTATAATGAACATCCGTAATTAGTATTTAAAATGGAATAAATTTAATATTAAATTTTGACTAGAGAATTGTATCTATACTTACGTGTTTTACTCTACTTTAGTGTAAATAATATTATTTAAAAATTACTGTTTACTTTTAATATCTATAGTACACATTTATAATTTATAAACCGTTTTATTATAGCTTAATATTTGTAATATTAGTTAAGTATGTATTGTATGTTATATCAAAATAACTTATGTGCACTCATTTTCTTACAGCCGTCATTAATAAAAATAAAAATAAAACATGTAACAAAAATGAAGTCTTCCGGTCAACTAACACTGTAAAGTAAATAAATAGTATTTTTTTTATATATTACATATTCCAATGTAAGCGAATAAAAAAATAATATAGTGTAAATAGGTATCTAAATATTAATTCAAATAAATTAAACTACAAAGTCCTACATTTTTAAAAGTATTCAACATACCTGCAGTGAACTGGTACTTGTATACTTTCTATAGAAAGTATTGCATAAGTGAAACACATATAACTCAAAAAAATCGAAGAATTATCAAATTCAAATGTATGTATTACACTATAAGTCTTTAAGACAAAAATGCAGTCGTGGAAATGAAGAAGTAAAGAACCGAACAAAGTAAATACGATATACCTTCAAATCATAAAAGATTTACACGACTACGCGCTAGGCGGTGTAGTTACTTTTGTTATCGTAATACGATCGACGGATAATCCGATTAAATAGGCCCATATTCGATAGTACAGGGATTTTTAATTTTTTCAGAAAAAAAATTAAAATTTTTATTTTTATATACATTTTTATAATTTCGTTCAATCCGCGAATATTAAAATTAGATTAATAACAATTAATGAAGGTAATATATAGTAATAAATAGCTATAAAAAACGAAATTATACCTCGAGATCGAGAAGCTATGTAGATATATGTACGTAATTTAATGTATATTCCGTATCAAAGAACGGTATTTATCGCGTTTGTATAAATTGATGATTAATACTCTAAAATACGTGTTATGTAAAATTGTAAAATTAAAGTTATTATTACTTATTAATATTTACAAGTAAAATATAAGGAATAAAGGAAGTGTAGTATGTAACATACATTTATAAAAAATATATATATTTTTACTCAGTGTCAACTATTTTTTTATTTTTTTATCACAACAATCTAGAAAATTCGATCACAATTCTTTAAAAGGTGGCCACCTCTGTTATAGTATGAACCTGTATATAATTTATATTATCTTATAATTATCTGAAATTTCACTATTCGGTAAATCATTGTTTAACTAAAACATCCCCTGTAATGTTTATGTCAAAGGCAAAAAAAAATAAAAAATAAAACATTAATAATATCGTTACCGTGATATAAGTTATGAAACACGTTTTACAACGTATTTATACACATAAATGGAATATTTTATCGAAATATAAATGATTTTCAAAAATCTTCCAATAGTTAAATATTTTAATGTATTATTACGGCTAAAAAACTTAAATGTATGTATAACTGGAACATTTGTAACAGTTTATATTTGCACGGTGGATACATATATACTATTATTAGGGTTTGGGACTTATTGCATACAAATTTTAGGAAATAAGCACTTGCCATAATCGAAATATACGCAAAAATATGCAACTAAATTTTTTTATAATAGCAATTAAAAATTTTATATTATACTATATTTAATTTATTATATTTTATATGTATACAAATTTTTATTTAATCATTTTTTACTACAATAACTCTATAAAAAGTCTAAAACTTTAATATTACTTTGTACGATCGAATTCATTTTCTTTGTCTTCTTCTCCAAGAACGAAAAAAAGGTGTAGAATTGCAAAAAATTTAAATATAATTTCATGTTTGCATGCAAATTTGGACTGTACAATTTTCTGATTTCTTCAAAATTAAATGCACGGTGATCGTTAGTCAGCATAATTTTAGAAATTGAAAACGAACTTTCACGTCCACTGACGTTATCGGCGCATAATCAAAATGTACCAAGTAATTTAATTTTAATATTTCTGGTCAACCTCAGCGACAATTTTACAATAAGTATTAACTGACTTATGATAATAAAAAAAATTAAAAAAAATTGTTAACCTTTAGAATAAATTTACTTCACATAAAACGTAAAAATGAATAAATATGGTTTGAATAATAATTCAATTGCAAAAATCTGTCATATATGCATTTTTCCAACAAAAAAAAAAAAAAAGGCAATAAATGCATTAATGTGCAATTAAAATATTTTTATTCAAGTCCGTTATGTCTTAAAGCAGATTTATGTTTTGCTCAGATTATTCTACAGTCATTATTAAAGAATATGCAAATTCAACAAGTCAGTGGTGGTTATAAGGGAAGGGGGGGGTGGTGATTGGTGGATTCACAGATATTATCCACGAATAATAAACTACCATAGTATTGTAAAATATCATACTCTATACCTCAGTCACGCCCATTTAACCTAACTAATAACAGTTATCATTTATCAGTATTAGACATTAATTGTTTGATTGTAGTTGATTTATTTTGAAAAGTGTTTATTTGTATTATTTTAAATCATAAATGTATATACTATTGGGTGGGGGAGGGTTGGATTTATTTTCGACTCCCTCCTTGAACATAATTTACAGCCGCCACTGCTAAAAGAGTCCCGTACCCTTTATCGTTTAATTTAATTATTATTATGACGCGCGCGTAAGTTGTAAACGCGTACAGTAAACGCGGTTTCGATGTTCTGTTTAGACGCCCGAGGCGCTGAACAACTGGCTCAACAAGCTGGTGCCGAGGAATCAGTTCAAGATCGAGAGCTGTCTGAGGGGACTGGTGCAAGACCACAACAGACGCGTGGACCTTTTAAACCAGCACATCGGGTTCGCGGTGCGCGAACGGGCCACATTGCAGCAGCTGGGCCGCGTGCTGTTCTGCGGGGAACGCGACCCGGACGAGGACCCGGTGTGCGCGAGGATCCGGGACAACGCGGACCTGCAACAGCTGTACGAAGGGATCATGGCCGCGGGCTACGAGGAGGAAGTGGAATCACTATCCCGCGTCAACGTGAACGCCGAGGCCGGCAAGCAGGTGCTGTCCATGATACTGGCCAAGCACCATTACTTCACGGCACCGCCGTCGAGCCTGCCGCGGCTCAGGGCGCAATTGAACGCGGCCACGGCACCGCCGACGGACATCGTGGACTTGTGCTCGGACAGCGACGATGACGATGACATAGGCGACGGTGACAACCGCGTCCGCGACCGCGAGATGACGGAGCAGCCGCCGTCGACGTACGCAAGCGACGACGGCGTACGTGAAAAGGCCGGTCAAGCGGTTGCGGCCGACGCGGCCGTCTGAAATGACGACGGACGAGACGACGACGAACCTGCATTGTCTCTATGGTGCAATCGGCAAACGCAGGGATGAGTGGCTGCCGGCGACGCACGGAATTACCGTCGTCGCGAATCGCAATATTATTTTGTCGTATACATTGTCGCATTATTACATTTTTCGCTCCATTTTTTTCGTTTAATTTTTTTCTCATGTCCGTCGTCGGCTGTTAATTCTGTCCTCCGCGTACGGGAATGTCATATTAAAAATAACAGAACCACCTCCCTTCCCTAAAACGGTTAGATTTTTTTTAAAAAAAAAGTTGGTTTCTCAATCTACGTAGAGATTATTTTTTCCGAGTATACTTATTTACATAAATCTCATACCGGTCCGATAAATAATTAATTAGAGATGAAAACATGTTTGAAACGCACTCTCTCCGTCCTGCCGGTGGGCGAACAAAAAAAAAAAAAAAAAATAAATAAATAAAATAAAATAAAAAATAATATATGTTTCTAAAATAACCGGAATGTTCAATAACTGGTGTCGTCGTCGTCGGTGTGATCACATTTGTTAAACACAATTACCAAATCATAATTTTAAAATAAAATAGTAATGCTTTTATAAAACACCCTATCAATACTATAAATATATATTGGATACTCGTTAATTATAAAAATGTTTATGTTAAGCAATGGGATTTTTTAATCGATTTCATTTTCCACGTAGTTATCAGTAATAAATCAGTGGCGAACAGTCAGGGATTATTTACGTGAGGTCTCTGTATTGCAACGTACGTCAGTATAATAACACTTTAGTCCGTGGACTAAATATTTTATTTGATCTATGCGTTCGCCGGACCTATCTATAATAAATTATTATTGTATGGAATTTAGTCTGATGGAATAATTATTAATTCAATTATCTATTTTTAGATCACTAACTCAAAGTCAACGGTTTCTATTACTATGTAGCAACAGGGAGGAACTTAATAATTCAAATTATTTTGATGTTTCCCAGCGATTCGAAATAATTAAAATAAATGAGTTCCTCCCTGTATCTATATAATAATGGCAAATCGTTGATTTTTAGTACAGTAATCTTAAAATAAAAATGAATTAATAATTATTCCGCCAGGCTAAATTTCAAACACAATAATAATTTATAAGTATCTTCTGGGAAACGTAGAATATAGTGTCAACTAAAGAATATAAATATTACTGTATAATCATTTCCTAACATATACAATTTTTTATTTAATAAAATCATCACGTATACTAGTACATACCACCCGTTTATTTTATATACTCGTATTATTTTACATAAGTTTTAATTATTAATGAATTCTCAATCGTCCACAATTCCTATTGAAAACCAAGAATGATATTACATAAAAAATGAATCAAAAATGTATTTTATAATATATAAAATATGTAATATAGTTATATATGGTAGTTTATTCCCTTTTTTAGATTTAAAGTACAAAGATACCAGTACAAATATATTTTATAATACTAATTAATTTATTATAGATGTATGTAATGTAGATAAATAAATATTGTCATCTCGTTATCTATGTATTATTTATTGTTATTGATGATGAATGATGATTATTTTTAGTTCGGTGCTTACTCCAACACCCTTAATATTTGCACATAGAGTATAGTTAATGATTAATTGGTAAATAAATAATAGCAACTTTGTAAAAGATTTTCGCATAGATTAAGTATGTTAGCTTAGTTGTGTAAGTTATATTTATAATTAAATTTTCTGATGTATTTACTAACTAATCAAATCATGAAACTATATAATTGAGTTATAACTGTATTCTGATTTTAAACTTTTGTTTACTTTTATTTAAAAATTATTGTATTAAAATGTAAACAGAAATAAATTATGAAAAAGTATAGTATACATAATTTATATAAATATTTAAATTGTAATATATGAACCTAGATGAAAGCACACTATATATCTAATGCACATATCATATTTCTTAATTATAAATTTCTCATTAAAAATTCATAATAAAAATGGAATATATTAATATTTTTTATTGTATGTATACATTATAGTACCTACATATGTCCTTTATTGTTTCTACTTTCTAACGTAAGTTAAAAATGCGGTTATTAAGCAATTTTGCCTATTAATTAACTGGTGTTTTAAAGGTACAAAAGTATTCTCAGAGCCAATTTACTCCACGGTAGATTTTGTAAGATTGACTTATTTATTTTGCTGTTATCAATAAAAAAAAAAAAAAATTATAATAATACAACTATTAAGCTGAAAGCTGTGATAGTCAGTGACGGTTGGTGTCATGTTGATTTCGAACATTTATGAACAGTTTTTAAACAAAAGAAACAAACGCTCATAGCAGATATTTTAATTCAAAATTTCAACTTTATTGTTAACAAGTGTACCTATTATTTGTTTAATTTTGAATATTATTGCTATCATAAAGAACAAATGTTAAAATAGGAGAGGCTTTATGATTAGGTTTTCTAGGAGTCTCGTAAATATCTCCATCCAAATCATCCAACGCTGCAGTCATGGTGCAGAGTTAAGAAAAAAACAGAAACCAGCGCACGACAACGGGGCATATTATACAATAATACCGATTCGTGTTTAACCAAAGTTATTTTAAGAAAATCAGTCAGCTACCCTATAGCCTAAACTAATGAACTGGTTGACTTGAAATTCGTACGAGTAGTCCAGTTTGGTGCGTAGACGATTCTGCAGAAAATTCAAGTTCATCGGAGGACTTAGAACTCGGGCCAGATCAAAGGGAGGACTAGGGTAGGCTATAATCGGGCCACAAGTGGAAAGGGGCCACAATGTACTTCATTGTTGGTTAACAAATATAAAGCCCAGTTTTATTAAAGAATTGTAACTAACTATACTACACTAAATAAATACCGGTATATTATACATGTTTTAATTACTAATTAAATTATTAAATCTGATTAAAAAAAATAGAATTATATTTGGACCTTGTCAAACAAAAGTAATAACCCTCCTGATATTATAACCATAATCCGGCCCTGTTCAGAACCCGAGAAATATGTAAAAACACCGGCACAAAAATTGATCGAAATCCGATGTATGGACCCCGTGCAGTGCGCGGTGTGTCGTCGTGGGTTCGCATGTCGTTGTTAACATTGTCAAACACGTCGATTTGCGTGTGCGAGCGTAACGAAACTTCTAAAAGACCGTCAATAATAATAAAAGGTTACGTCTTGTGTACGATTATTTGATCTGTTCTCCATTGTCCACAAAACCGTCTCGCATTTGCGTTGACGTCTGCGTAAACACCACGTCTTTTGTGCCTATAAATTATAAAATATTATTATTTTATGAATAATATATTTATACTCAATGCTTGTGCGTAAGCGGCTTTAAAAAGCAAGGGCGTTTTGCGGTGAATAAATCGCGATTTCGTGCATTTTAAAGTGTGCAAATATTAATAGTAAAAAATGGTGTCCATTGCTTATAAAAAAATTTTAATAAATTAAAAAACTCAAAATTGCGAGAAAATACAATGATAGAAGAGCAGCAATGCTTAAATATCACATAAATCGAGATAAATCGAGATAAATCGAGAGTGTGCATGGTTATAAATAAACAACATATTAAAAAAACAGAATACATTGTCTGAAAAACAATTGAGTTCTAAAAGAACAAAATTATTTCTGTTTAAAATATCAACATAAAAGTGATCTTTAAAATGAATGAATTAAAGTAAGAACTGTTGCAAAAAAATTTATAAAGTAACTTTAGTTATATTATTTAATATTTATTGCGACCAGTAGCCACGTGGAGATAGACGTGTTTATAGTTGTTTTCTAGCAATAATCGTAATTTTAATTATGCAGTAAAATACCTCCCCTCCACCGAAAAAGAAAACAATTTCATCATCATCTGGAATGGGTTTATTATATCCAGAATTGTAATAAAAATAAAAGAGTCATATCTCATCGAAAACAAAGTGTAAAAATATCACTAAGTAAAAAATAAAAACCACTTAAATTACAAAAGATAAGATATTAAAAAGTGGCTAAGTAATTTCATAAATTCATTAATATAAAAGTATTTATAATTGTTTGTATTTAATGAAGTATATATAGTACAAACAATTTTACTTAGCTTAGCGCGGCTATTATTTTTTATGACCATACAACTAAGACAGCAAGTGCACTAAGTCTCGATATCGACATAAATATTCGCATCATTTTGCATATTTTTACTATAATTACACTATAGAACAATATTACTATTTAAATTTATCCTTCTAGTGTCCACACTAAGCTAAGTAAAATTATTATGTATTAAGGTATTAAATATAATTATTAATAATTATATACATTATAAAATGTACTAAATAAATACAATTCATTAAATATAAAGAGTTATAAATACTTCTATGTAAATTAGTTTATGAAATTACTCAACAACTTCTTATATCATAACTCTTGTAACTTTTTTTTACTTAGCTATGTTTTTACATGGAGTGTTTTTGATGAGTATTTATTACCTGTTAATTTGGACTGGACAGTGGATACAGCAGAACACGTAGCAAACAACATTCTTTGATTTCCTATTTTATCGTTAGATCTTTCGATAGTAGGAAAATAAAAAATAATATAATGCTAATAGTCTGTTAAATAGAAGAGTGTAATGATAAAATATTTTTATGAATTTATTAATAAATGGTGAACTACGTAAATACATATACATATTACATACGTAAATTGATTACAGGAAAGATCTATTACACAGATACATTCGCGAAAACTAGAATATCTAGTCTAAATCAATATATTTTAAGATATAGGTATATCATCGGAATAGATGACCAGTCGTGACTATGAAATGAAAATAATTATTATATTTTATCATTTATTTCGATCATCTAAATATTATTATTTTACTATTTTATTTAAAAGTATAGAGTAACAAAACCAACTGTTTCGCTAAAGAGTACAGTAGAGTAAATATGATACGAAAATTCCAAATGTATCTTCAATTTCAGATTAATCTACAATGAATGGTAAATATTTTAAATTGTGTAGATTGATAATACGTATGAAATATAAATTTTGAGTTTGGCGCTCCTTCTGTGATGGTACCCTGGGCAGTCACCCAGGTTACCCATAGCTTTGGTCGGCCCTATGTTTAATAAAATATATATTGTGTTGTATTTTCGAAATATAATAATCACATGAGAAAGAACAAAACTCGTATGGTGATCGGACGTTGAGAGATCTCGACCGGAGCCGGGTGAATGGCAGAGAGAGGGCATCGTTTGTTCATAATCGCCGGTTTTTGCAACGTTGTCGGTCCCTCGTGTCGTTTTTCACGAAATTTGCGACTGGTGCGAACGAATTCGCCTTGGCCACCTCGCCGTCTGCAATGAAGGCCTACCTGTGGGCAGAGATCATGAATGGCGACTGATGCAAACGACCGATATGATGGATAATTTTTTGTTTTTTGAAGCGCAGTCTGTTTTGTCATGAGAAGTCGAACGATATACTTTGTCCGTGTGATTTTATACTGATTTTTGTTTGAAAACAAACAAAAAAATTGATTGAATTTTAATTGTTATAATTTAAAAGTGCTACAGTGAAATACGTAATGTAATTAATAATACTTACTTCATGAAAAATATTTAAAAAAAATATCACTTACGAATTCAATTGTTTTAAGAATAGAT